TATTAGACAACCCCGTATTGTGTATTAAACTTTTTATTCCTTAGTAAGAATTTTTTTAAATCACAAAATAGTGTGGAAATATTTAGATAATAGAATTCATGGAGTGCTGGAAAATACTGAATATAAAGATTGATTTCTAATATATCACATACTAAACTGTTCTAAAACAGCTGGTTTCTTGCAGACAGTATTTATTTTTTTAAAATAATTTAAGACAGCATAAGCTTGTACCAAGCATAAGCATTGTAACAAAAGTGCAACTTTTTCAGCAAATCGTCCCCAAAGATATTTAACTCAAAATATCATTAACACATATTTTCTCCCTACAAAAATAGCATGTCAGACATCATTAATTGGATGTATTAACAACTATTTACATACAGCCACTCTGTAGGCTAGTTAAGATTTTTTTAACGTTGTTTAAACACAGCGTTTGAGGCAAACAGTAGCAACAGCAGCAGCAAATGCACCAAACTGACTAACAGACCCAGGATTCTTATTCACTCATAGTCAGACTGTTGTGTCTCACCTCTTACATAACATTCAAGTGAGATTTCTCACAGTGCTACCTTGGCAACAAACTAAAAATATCTAGGCAAGGTCTTGGTTTAAGCCTTATTAAAAAAGCTTTATCTGTGTGATTATCTGGTGCCTACTATAGCCCCAGAAAAGGAAATCATGATATTTGGAAATAGAAAAACCACATGGGACCTTATCCCAATTCTTATAAGCATTTCTAATTAAAATCAGACATGTTTAATTATTTCCTCTATTTTTTTTTAATAACCCATAATTAAGGATAAAATTAGTTCAGGGCTTTTTTTTTTAGTTCAGTGCAGAAACATTCATTTTATACAGTAAAGTTAGAAAAACTGAGGGACAGAATGAATTAAATAAGGACATGGGGGCAGGGGAGAACAAATGCACTTGCCATACCACCAGACCTTAGCTAAAGAAATTATGTAATGGATCTCATCCTCTTTCCCTTGCGTACCCAAAACTCTCACTGAAGCCAGTGGCAACTGGAGGTGCACAAGGCACTGAAGGATTGGGCTCAAGGTTAATTCATTCATAGTCCATTTCTCAATAAAGTGCTAGCATAGCATAAAACCTCCTGCCACCTGCTCTTCCTCTTACCCTCGCCCCTCCCCCTCCCCACCCCCTCATCCCGACAAAGCACTAATCCAGGGCTCTCTAAACAAGTGCAAGTTACCAAGTGGAAGGAGAGACACTATAAAAAAACAGTTCAAAATAAGGTGCAACATTTAATTTACTTCAGAGAGGGGAAAAATGTATAATGTCTCCACACTATATTTTTTTCCTTTTCTTTTTTTTAAAACATACCTGTGCATTTATAAAGCCAAACATGAAAAAAAAAACTGAGTAGCAAATTTAACCCTTTGCAGCAGGAGAGACCTCAAAGGGAAAGCTCTCTCCCATCTGGACCCGGACGCAGTCTGATTTTTGCCGATTCCCATCACTTTTTTATTATTAGGAGCTTGCATTTCCGAAGTGGCCATCATCATGGCCTCGTCACCCTCATCCCTGCCCTCCCCACACCCCCTCCACTGCACCAGGGGGTGATGCCTGCTCCCTTTGGCCCACCTGTTTCCACCCCCCTAAGCCTCTGCTTGACGCTTAGGATTCGAAAGTAGAGAGAAAAGTTCAAGGCTTAAGCAAGTTGCTCTTGGCTCCACTGCAGTCTGAAAGGAGGAAACACATCAATGCAAAGGGTTGCTTGTAGCTGTGTTGGTCTAACCTTGCCTGTCAATGCAAAGGGGCTTTTACAGCAGAGGAAGGTGGGGGGAGATGGGGGGCCAGGAATGAACACCAAAAAGAAAGAGATGGGAACAAAAAAGAAACAACCAACTGGGGGGGGGGGGCATACATACACATGTGCATGTATGTATGTACCAGTG